CTTAAATATATTTATGGGAAACCCTGTAGGGTAACGTTACAAGGCCATAAAAAATAAATTACGGTAGTTCGCAGTTTTTATTTTGATGTAATACATAAATGAATAGTGGTTCAAAGTTCTCTGGCTATCAGCTGTTTTGTTGTTGACACACCCAATGCACTTCTGAACCATTAGCGACTCTGCGGTCCATATAGACATGGAATTTATCAAACCATTGTTAACCATGCAAACATTAGCTGACTACTTAGTTAGCAAGCAAGCTACAGTGTAGCATCAAGCACATGCTTAAACGAAAGAATTAAACATGTGACTACTGCAAATCCAGACTTTCAATACTCATATTCAAACAAAATACTCACCTTTATGACTTCAGGTTCTATTGAAGAAAACAGGAGAATTGTCCTGGTATGTCCAACACTGACATGTGGACAAAAACCCCTGCAGGACTGCTTAGGAAACCCCATTCTTAGCACCACTTGAGTTGGCTCAGCTCCAACTACAATTTCAAAGTTGTGCCACCATAAATTTTGCATTGAGACCAACTTTATACAAGAAATGTAATAAAGTTAGTTAAAGAAACTATTTTAACAAAGTTTACAATGCCATTAAGTATTTTTTGTTCAGTTTAATAAAAAATCTAATAAATTTTTAAAATTAAAGCAATTTCAAGTTTTAATTTTTACAGTGTGTGAAAAATATCAATTGAGTCCGTGAGACAGCTTTTAACCTGATGAAAAATCTCGTCACATTTTAATCGTCACACCCCTATTTATAATCCCTAGTGGGAACCTTGACCTGCAGTCAGGGCACAGGATAAAACATACAAGGATTATATAAACAACACAAAAGCAAAACAACAAATACTAAAACCGTGAGCAGTACATACAGAACACTCAGAAGACCCTAAAAACATAAAACAATCTCTAAAATGTGAGGTAACCTGAGACGATTAAGCAGGGTTATTGCACAGGGATCTATCAATCTAATATAAACCTGGCCTTAAGGAGAACGGCTGTCAAAGACAGCCTTCAGGGGAGTCTGTGAGACACCTTTAACCTTAACAGCCACCTTTACAATATTGTTTAGGTGGTTTTTGTCCCTAGTGTCCAGGTTACCATGCCATGCAATCAGAAAAAGTAAGAACAGATTCAATAAAAGACTTGCAAACCAAACACATAATCGTCTTTTGAACATTAAAAACATTTAACTTCCTGAGGAAGTACAAACGTTGTTGACCCTTCTAACAGACTGCATCAGAATTAGCTTCAAATTTCAGGTCACTTTCAATGACTGTTCCAAGATATTTATACCGTTCTACAAATTCAATGCCAATTCCTTTAATGAAGGTCTGAGATGGTAGTTCTAAAATCAATGGTCATTGTAGCATTTAATTGGAGGACTGAGCAGAAGCGGGGCTGACATGAGATGCTGGCACAGACATCGGGAAGCACAGGGGAACCCACGTTAGCAAAACCACAAAGGGGAAAAAGTCACAGAAAACAATCAGGCGTTGAGTGGCAGGAGAGTGGGAATGCTTGAGCAGATGGCTGATGAATAGATCAGGTATGGAGATGAGCCAGGTGCCAGGAAGTATAAGCCACTCCCCCACAACGCAAACACACACAGACACACAGGGGAGGGGGGAACAGGGAAAGCACAAGAAACAGCTGGAGTCACAGTCAGATCGGTGACAACAAATCCTGAAAGCGGGTCTGTCAAAAACAACATTAATATTGATACTAAGTACGAAAACATTTGATTGATCAATAGATAGATAGATGGATAGTTCACTTTATTCATTCCAGAAGGAAATTAAATCGTCTTAGCAGTCAGACACATAAAATAACAAAAGACAATTTAAATGTACATAAATACTACTTAAATAATAAGAGTCTGAGTTTAACAGTCCAGATACATTCAAGTGCTGTGGTAGTCCTGATGTGCAAAGAGCACAGTGTTAAAATAATTGTCTATAGTACATACATACTTTCATACAGCGTAGTGATGTCAACTGGGTAATCTCAGCTCGAGTTTGGAGACTACAGATTTTCAAAATAAAGCCTGTGTTACCAGCTGGTTTGTAAGCACACACATCTTTAAAACTTAGTTTGAAGGATTTACCAGACAATGGATGCAATTGAGTTCTATTATGGGAAATGTAGGATCCAGTGTTTAAGGAGCTTGACCCATTCTAGAGGGTGAAAATCACAATATGTTGGAATCTGCTGTTTCAATTTTGACTAATCTTTCTTTCGCCTGTCTTTATTTTTCACAAGACATCTGCTTCCTTGCTTTACAGCACAAAGAGAGATTGCTTTCAGACAGAGGGAGTATGCCTTACCGTCCACAGCAGGTTATGTAACAACGGGCTGAGTGAGTGGAATCATCAGGAATTATGTGAAGTTCAATTAATTTCATAACTTAACATTTGAAGAAGCCCCGCACAGGCGTACGCACACACACACACAGAGGGAGCTTTAAAAAAAAAAACGATTAAGACAGAAAGGAAAGAGATTGCGCCTATGATTATTAAAGACACGCCAAGAGAGAGGCTTGTAAATACAGCCTGGCTGCTCCTGAGGGAGAGAGGGTGCGATTATTATAATTGGAGAAGATGGACTACCCACAGTCTTTCTCTGCTTTATTGGGGCGCTTTAGAGCCCCGGTATAATTTCATTGGCCGAGCACAAGTGACCATAATACTGACCGCAGGCTTGATTTGAGTGCTCATAAGAGTAGTGAGAAGCACTCAATAGCCTGAAAACTTAAGTGTGCTGCATGAGTGATGGGAGAAGGATATCACATTATCTGTGGAGAGCTGATGGGTTTGCAGATCCACTGTTTGTGGGAGTGCCTGCCTGTTTGTGTGTGTTAGCCTGTGAATTCCTGTAATTGTGCCAAAATGCGTATGTGACATAAACTGTGCATCATTAACGTCCGAGGCTCAAAGTAACAGTATGCAGTGTCAGAGGTGGATTCTGCCTCAGCAGCTCAAGTCATGGATTCTGGACAACTCTGCTTGTGTATTTGTGTGTGTGCATAGGTGTGAGGGTGTGTGTGTTTATGTGACATGATGACATTCGTGATGTATGAACTCATTTTGTTCAATTTGATTTTGAGCGGTTTTGAGCAGAAGACCCAGAGCAGAAGCATCCTAATGTGTGTGTGTTTGTGTTGCCCGTATAGACTGACTCCAATTAATCTTAATCAGTATCAGAAGGAGCACATACTGATTTGCATGGAACTACAACCACTACATCTTACCTTTAACTAGGCTTTCTAGATAATTGGCTGTTTCAGACAAAGTATAAAATCACTAAGCGCCCTGTGTATTAATCACTGATTGGACAGCATCCAATGTCACACATCCAATAGTTGCGTTAGCCTACTTTGCCACTGTGTCCGTAAAGCAGCGGAATTCAGAGGAGCAAGAGAGAGTTTTTGTAATTTCATTTAATGACTTGTATTTGCAGAGGCTAAAACAGCTGGAGCCACATTTGCTGACTTTGACTGTCTTTTAAAATCCTGCGTTGTAATCCAAAAATTTGTAAAATGTTTGCTCTTTTCACTTCCTATTTAAATTTGTAACAGGGAGCTCTGTGTCAGCCCGGTGTGTGGGAGAAAGTGTAAAACTGGATATCGAGAGTTTCCCCTGTAAGAAACCGTGTGTCTTATAAACGCAGCGCTCACTTTCACACCATTTTCACACGTTATTTTCAGATGTGTTAATTGGGAAAAGAGCTTGGCAAGTGTGTGACTGTGGATAAGTTGTGAAAGCAGGCATATTCTCAAAGGAGAAATGGTAGAAGTTAAACGTGAAGGCAGATTCCACAAGTTTCACCCCAAACTGAGAGATGCAACAAATATCCAAAACCAGGTTGCATATCATTTAAATACTTAGGATTTGACATTCCCATAACATGCAACACGCTGATTAATCATGAGACATGCTGTTTCTGCATGTTGCAGATGTGATTAAAAAGGTTTACATGTTTTTTTATACAAGAGGTGTCACAGGCATGATCCATGTCTGAGGTGCAAAGTCTTGTGTTACATATTATAATGTGCCTTCTGTTGAATCTACCCAGTTATTTTCAGGGCTTTGCTTCTGCATTGTGCAAAGAGCTGCACACTCGGAAGGAGAGCAGGTGGTGTGAAAACAGTTTTGGCATGTGTGTGTGGTGAGCATTTTTCATTCAGTTGTATTGCCGCCATCTTGGAATCTGGTATCCAGTTTTCATAGTTCATATGGTTCAGCCATGTATAAGCAGCACTTTAATGTTGCGGCTGGTCCAGGTGGAGCAAATCTGAGCAACTTTGTACACAGTTCGGTAGTTTTGTTCAGTAGTTCTCAGCCTAAAAGTAGGGCACCTCCAAAGTTTCCCAAGATAAATCTGAACATGAGATAGAGGGAGAGGAAAGAAGAAAAAATAATTCTTCTATATACTGTACATTTGTATATTTTATTCTTTTGGCCTCAAACCATGTAAAGGAAATCATCTGAGATGTTTAGAGAGGAAATTCCCAAACTAGATATTGCATTTATAGAAGGACTCAGAAGCCAGATATGTTTGAAAACAACAATCTGTTCTACTTTAATGTTTATTTTATCTACAATTTTTTTTTGTAAAGTAACTAGAAAGTATGTCAGATAGTGGAGTACAAGCATAAAGTAGTGGAAAATTGAAATAAGTAAAGTACCTCAAAACTGTAGTAAATCGAAGTACATTACTTGGGTAAATGTACTTAGTTTCTTTCTACCACTGCTGAGCTGTTCTTTTCTTTTGATCTTTTTTTTGACAGCTGAAATATAGAAACAATTCATGTTTGATGCTTAGCATGGGGATCACTCAGACCTCTGGTGTGATTCTTCCCTCAGGTGTTTCAATCTCAAGAAGAGTCTTGGAAAATCAGGATTTAACTGAATCACAGCTTGTCTTTAAAATAATGATAATGGGTGACTGGACAGTACTATCCTAATGTAATACATTTCTTTACAGGACAATGTGGACCTGGGAGAATTGATGTTTTCATTGTGCTATCTCCCCACGGCTGGCAGGCTCACAATCACCATGATCAAAGCCAGAAATCTCAAAGCCATGGACATCACTGGAGCTTCAGGTGGGTCCTGACTGACAATGCAATGTTTCCACTGAAAGGTGGTGTAGTGAAATATACACATAAAGTGTTCAAGTGCTTCATTATTATCACAGCATAGCATTTTGTTTTGTGGCTTTCGATGCCAATACATTTTTAAAACCCTTATTGAACTCGCCACATTTTACCAATCCAAATTCTCCAGATCCTTATGTGAAAGTGTCCCTGATGTGTGAAGGCCGGAGGCTAAAGAAGAGAAAGACATCAACCAAGCGTAATACTCTGAACCCGGTGTACAATGAAGCCATTGTGTTTGATGTTCCTCCTGAGAACATCGACCAGATCAGTCTGCTCATAGCTGTCATGGACTATGACCGGTTAGTAAGTTACCTTCATATATCAGTTTCATGTACAGTCCGTTAACTGATGCAATATTTTGGAGTCTCCATGTGTTGTTCTTACTGTCCTGCAGGGTCGGACATAATGAAGTGATCGGTGTGTGCAGGGTGGGCAATGAGGCCGAGAGTCTGGGGCGAGACCACTGGAGTGAGATGCTGACATATCCACGGAAACCCATAGCACACTGGCACCCACTCATAGAGGTATGGGCTGCTTTGTGTATTGGTGCAATACATTTCTGTAGATAAACACTCTAACAAAGTTAACGTTATTTCACAATGATCCTTTCTATGAAAACCTCTAAGGACTAGAAAATAGTGGGGAAACTAGACTAATTGAGAAAAACAACACCTAGACTACAGCCATGCTAGCGTCTTTGTGAGGCTGTACTTTGTCACAATAGTGCTTTCAGCTAATGCTAATGTCAGCATGCTAACATGATCACAATGACAATGGTAAAATACAGATGTTTAGCAGGTAAAGTTTTTAGTTAATTATTATACTAAAATTTGCTAATTAGCACTCAATACAAAGAACGGTTGAGGCTGATGGGGATGTCAGTTTAGCTGGTCATAACACAAAGTATTATCCAAATAAAAAAGTGTACCTGATGAAGGTGCTATATTATAAAAATTGAGAGATGACTAAAGTTATTATACTTCATCCTGAACCAAATTTCATCCAATTTATCCAATTGTTATTGACACATCTCAGACAATGACTCAAGATAGTGCCAGAGGAAAAGTCAGGCATCTCACCAAAGTCGGCAGGCTTCAGCCTCTTGGGACCATGAGTGTCTGTACAAAATGGTGTTCCAATCAGTCCAATAGTTGTCAAGACATTTTACCATATGCAAAAAAAATGTAATCTCATGGTGGAGCTAAAGGAAAATTCAGGGGATCACCTAAGTTTGTACTGGTCAGTCTTAATCATCTGGAGAACATCTGATAGCTGTTGAGAATTTTCAGTCTGGACCAAACTGACCAATAGCCACTAGCATGACTAAAGATTAGGTATATAATTAATATGAAGGCAGATAGTTTTCTCTGTTGAATGACAGGTGAAGTATGTACAATTAAAAACTGACCACCTTGTGATGCAGTAGAGGTAAAAAACCGTTGATGTACACTATGGACTGGGTTTGTTTTCAAATATAAGAAAAGAATAGCTCTGTCAACCTCTGAATCACCACCCACATGTCTGATTTGTTCAGCCATTCAAAAAGATGAATGAACTTAAACAAAATGATAATTGAGACTGATTATCAGGGTAATAAAGCAGAATATTCAAGTAAAAAAAACAACTCAAGTTCAAATTCAACATACAGTAGACTGTACAAGAGGTTCTCTAAAGAAATCTTAATTGAAAACGGACTTGAAAATTGCAACGATAGATAATCTAAATCAGTCATGTTGTGTATTTCATTTTGAGGTACAGTGAAAAAAAAAGAAATTAAACATTACATAACAAAAATACTGCATAACCCTCATGTATACTTGACTTGTTTTGCTGTGATTGCAACAACAGAGGCACCTAGCTTACAGAGAGAGACACAGAGAGGTGGCTACATTCAGGGAGCTGTTTCTATTTCTGAATTCCCAGCCCACACTCATTAAAAAAACAGAGCATGCTAAAACAGATGCTGGACTGATTCATGTAAATTCATGTTGAGTTGTCACAGCTAAATCTTTTGGTATTCCACTGTAGGGGTCAGAAAATAAAACGTTTCAAAGTGGATTGCTGTCCGGGTAAACGCCTAGCATCAGCTGTGACACCCTCAAGATTCACTTCAGCTTTACGAAGAGAGTTTTGCAATGTTTACCATTCCTTAATAAACGTAATGGACACTGCTGGAAGTAAGCTTGTTAGCTGGTAACATTGGTCATCATGATGTAAGCTCTCTCTAGACATCATTATATTTACCAGAGAAGGTGATGCTCATTAGGAGAGAGGCTAAAGACCCCAGGAATATTATTCCATCTCTAATGAACATGATTTTCTTTATCTACCCAAATGACATTTCCATCTAAAATTAGGCCAACTAATGTATAATGAGTATCTATTTAGATCATTTTACCACCCAGATAACGTGTGCTGTTTTTCTCAAGTGATACTAATACTAATGGCTGCTACGAATATATTATCTATTATCAGAAATATTTTGAATGTCTTTTCAACATACGTTGACCCCCAAACTATGAGGGGGGAAAAATCCTTTTTTCCCCTCCAGCTTAGTCTTTCAGTAAATGTGTGCGCAAATATGCCATTTGAATATGGCTTCATTCTCCAGCCCTTCAGCACGGTAGATGACCCCGCCCTCTGAAGATGTACTGAATACACCTCTCTGAGCTGGGGTGACCAGACGTCCCCGTTTTCCGGGGACAGTCCCTAGTTTTGGTGGCCTGTCCCTGTCTGAAGCTGTCCCCGGAAATGTACCCGTTTTTAACTGTATGTTAATCATGGACTGTATACGGTGTCAACAGACCTGAAATCAGATTTTACGTGGCCAGAAAGTCTGGACAGCAGAGCATATAGGTGTCGTGTTGAAAAGTGATTGTTTACGAAAAATTGATCGCCCAGTCTCTTTACATCTACAACTGCTTTTTATCGGGGTCAAACAGACATAACGTGCAAATAAACATCACTTTATGTCCGTGGTAATAGCAAAGGTATGTCTTTGTGATACTTTAATGTTTCTTTTAACGGAATAATCACAATTGTGGCCAAATAATTGTTTGCAGTTTATAGCATAATCAGGCATTACATTTACGTGATAGGCAATAATAGAAGTCTGTTGTTGCAGATGGATTATGTGTTTGATAGGCCTATGTCTAAAATCCTTGTTTATATTTGGAAAACGGAATGTAGCCTATAATTAACATGACTTACTACTGAGTTATATATAAAATAACATTTAACTTGCTGTGTACCAACCAATCCAGACCTTTTTACCTGTTAAAATACCTTTAAATGGCCAATACAATACAGTATTTTGATTGCAGCTTCTACTTATTTACTGAAAGGTAGATTCTACTGAAAGGTAGAAATTATATTTATATTTGACGGATATAAAACCGAAATCGTGCCCCTTTTTTAATTTCATATATAGCACTGAGACAGAGCTGCAGGTTGTTCAGTATGTCAAGCAGAAAGTGCATTTATGGTTATGAGGGGATGTTAAATATTTTCTGGTTTACCCTCTGATGTCCTCCAGCTGCTCTGCCTCAACTTTGTGATTTATAGGGTTTCCTGATGGACAGATAGCTTTACTTGTTGCTATCGCTACAGTAAGCTGTAGCTACTGCAAACTAGCTGCTGTTATCAGCTGGCTCTGCCCGAACTGGGTGCTCCCAGCAGTTCAAAGCTCCTGTACTAACAGAGGTGCAAACAACAACACACCCCTGTAGCCCCAAGCTTCCAGTCTGGGCAGCCAGCTAACGGGACAGCTAGCTGCATGGCTAACTGAGCTAGCTAACTAGCAGCAGCTACTGTTAGCAGTAGCTAGCGGATAAAGAAACTGCTAACAAAAAAAGAGCTATCTGTCCTTTGTAAATCACAGGAAGTTGAGGCAGAGCAGACAGAGGACATCAGAGATGAAATCTGAATATTTTCTACATGCAGTATATTCCATTTTTACCAAAATCAGTGAAAAAGGTTGTTTTCTTCTACTGTAGTCAGTGAGGCCTAGGCTGCGGAAAAGAGGACCGTGGGGTCAGAGAATCCGACTGCTCTTTTCTAAGCGACGTAATTATGCGACGGCGGATGTTACTGACGTGGCTTGCCGTGATAAAACTACAATATTCTGAAGGTGGACTACAAAAAGCGCATCTTTGACACTGCGCCCCATGTTGTTCATCTAAAGGTGGACAACCTACCAGTCACTAAATAATGGACAGGGCTGTCACATTGAGAATGCTCACACTCACCCTCCTGCCCACACATAGGCCTATTTATCTACACGAATCCCAATTGTATGTAAATACAGTGTTTCCCACAGAATGACAGCGTAACTGTGCCGAGAGAGAGAGAGGGAGCGACAGGGCGAGAGGAGATGCTGAGTGGAGCTCTGTCATGAAATACGATTTTACCCATTTTAAATAGTACCAAAATCAATCGAAAATCAGCGTTGATAATGTGGCAGGCCGCCACAATTAAATCAGTGCGTGGGAAACGCCTACTGTAGAGGTCATCCAGCTTGATCTTTGCCTTTATTAAGGCGAGTGTCAGCATCTGTGACTGAAGCAAAATTAATTTGCTGAAGGCTGCAGAACATAACGTGAGCTGCAACATTATCCTCACTTTGCTCACGTTACAAGACCAGTAATAGCTCGCATGGGTCTCAGTTATTTTTGACAGTTTAAGATATATGCATATTAGCAAGTTATGGCATAAGAGAGAAAAGGCTTAATAGCCAATGGTAACTTACATGGTGATCAACCTCCTTTATCCGTCATGGTTGGTGATTTATTTATTTTTATTGTAGAAAACACTTTATGGCTTATTTCAACAACCCGAAACATAAAACGGTGTTGAAACAGTATTATATTACAAAAAAGCCAAAAGAAAACAAACCAAAAGAAAGAAGGTAATTGTGAGTCTTATTAAAGTGTCATAACGTCTGTATTGCAGGATCTTGCTAAATGTGGTTGATGGATTTTATCGTTTGAGTTTGAGAACGTGCGTCGCTTTAAATGTTGCCGCAAGGAATTGTGGGACGGCATTCTCTCCTTTCCTTTCATAAAGGATGGTCCGGTGTACCCTATGCTAAAGGAGATATGAAAGGAAGCATTGAGGCACCTTTCCTTAGCTTTTAGAGAATTTGAACAGCTCTTATCATGGCTGCCACTGTTCACTTCATTCAGTGCACGCAGCCCTAGTCTCACAATCAGAAGAAAGTTGGGAGGGAGGCCTTAAAGAGACAGGAGCTAAAACAGAGTATTCAGACAGAGCTTGAATACAGCTGATAAAGCAATGGACAGTATGAGAAAAATAATGTGTTTTTTGAACATTGTAGCATGGCTAAATTAGTTATGAATTTTAATAAATTTATGAGAATTAATACCCAATTATGAATTTTAATAATTCATAAAATAAAGAAAATATTCCTCGTTTCAGGGCACCACTGGAGTTGTTATAATCCTAGAATCTCTGGACCTCTAGGTAGCTTTTAATAATTATACAATTATTACTAGTGATCAGTTAGTTAATAATCGCTAATAATCTTAAATCAGTCAGTCAGTTTTCATATCTAAAGGGTCAATTCTTTTGGCAGGGACGTGGAAATAGGCAACACACACAGTTTCCGGATTACAGTGAATTTACTAAAGAACTAAAGTTAACTAATGCGATATAAACAGGTGGTTAAATACAGGGAAAATAAACAATGGCTAAACAATGGAGGTTCGATTGTGGGAAGCATTTGACTCATACTGCATAGGAGAACTAATGAAAGTAAGCTATGAGTTTAGGAGTTAAAAGGAAATATTAACATTAAGGGACATATCTGACCACAGAATGTTTGTTAGATCTTACGGCTTGTCGAGGGCCTGCTTTAGCCTGTTGCACGGTAGCTGCCCGATCCTGGCTTTTTGCTAGGGATTCTCCGGGGTTTTCCGTGTCTGACTGAAGAAAACGCCTCCTCCGTCTGGCAATTCGGCTGTTTTCAGGTTTCCTTCGTTGCCGCTGGCGAGACCACGTGGCTTGGTCTGACCTCGGTGAAATTGGCTCGACGAAAAAGGCTTAAAATGGAACTTGGTCGTTCCTGAATTAGTCCAGTGTAACTTAACGGACTGATAACTTTAACAAAACAAAAGAAAGAAAGAAAATAAAACAAACTGAGGGGCAGATCGATGTCGCGGCACTTCGCGTGTGTGGCTTCAAACGAACAAAGGCCTGTTGCGCTGGCTGAACCTTAGGGCGTTGCCTGGAGAGGCACGCCGGACGCGTGCCGAAGCGTCCAGAGAGCAGAGCGGAAGACCAGGGTACGAGGGGAGGAGAAGAGCAGAGAGAGAGAGCAAATGACGTCGCGTGTCGCTCTTTTGTTGCCTGGGGCGTGGTTCCCCAGAGGGCGTTTCAGGTTTCCCAAAGGGACTGCCTTTCTAAACTTAATGTCTAAAAGAGAAGAAATCTATTTGCGCGTATTATAATCAAATATTTTCCACAATCAAACCTCAATGGTCAAACAGTTGTACCGTTCTAAGTTAAGCATTTGGTAACAGGTAAACAATTGTCACATTATTGGTCAGGATATTTATACATTTAACGTCATTTCCAACGATGGTATGTAATACTTATTTCGTCCACTTGGGGGAGCTCAGGTTACATGAGGAAAGCTTAGATTAATCCAAAACAATCTTTCCTTAGGAAATGGGGAATTTAACCTTAAATTCAAGCTGGATCATTACTAGAGTATAGTATGACATTTCTTTATCATCATTTCAAAAGGAATTTTGTGAGAAAGTATTGTGAACAAGTATTGGTTACACATAACATGATGGAGTGTCTTGCTGAAAATAAAAACACTGCAAAGGTAACTTATTTAGATTCTTTTCCGCACTAATATCAGCAACAGATAGCAACAACATGGTAACATAACTACTCAAATAGAGGCAAACGTAATCAAGTAACTAAAAGATTTAATTAAACTTAATTAAATGCTTTGAGTTTTTGGAGACTGCAGTCTTTGGTTATTTAAAGTTCGGCTTCCTGGATTATGTCACAAGTGGGTGAGACAAGGAGTATCCCTTTGATGGGGTAATGAAACACAGACCCAGTACATTGCCATGGTTACATGTGTGGGGGGGGGGGCAGTTTTGATAGGCTGTTCAGGGAAATGCTAATTGCTGGTTCATGTCCCTTTTGTCAGTTTCACAGTCAGTCACCGCGTTATCAGCTTCGGAATCAAAAAGGTGCCAGTTTTATGGTCAGGGATAGCACTTAGAGAAAGCAGCTTTCCCAACCCCCTTCCATTGGGGTCTCTTAGCAGTCTGTTGAAAGTTGATCTTTAACCCCCCTGCTCCTCTCTGGGAGAGGAAAAGAGGACTTTGGAGCAGCTCCAAATTTATTCAATATAAAATGCACAAATCCACACCGTTGTCCCACTACAACATTAAAGCATGTAAACATTTTACAATACCCAAAAAGTATAGACACCCAAAATAAATGTATGAACAAGAAACTGAGTATAATATGGGACCTTGTTAGTAGCGATATAAGTCATAAGTAGTGTCATTACAGTGCGTCCATGAAATAATGTAATGTAAATACTTTCTGAAGAAGGTAGAATGAGGTACACTGTGTATGAATTGAGAATACTTTCAAATATTCACATATCACGTCATAACTGCTGCTAACTGTCGTTAGTTACCGTAGCTCAGGTATCCATGCGGCCAACTTTGCGGTCCTATTAGCCTTCGAGACCAACAGAGGCCAGTTTGACAACAGACAATAGAGTACAATACAGTAGAACCAGAATATATTTATGTGTGACTGTGCATTAAGGGTTTATTTCAACCAAACCAGAGTTGGTGATTGTTGGAATAGTGGCAAGACCAGCCACAACGGTTTTGGTGAGTTATATTTTGTTTGAATGAAATGTGTTTTATGATGAGTTAACCAGGCAATTAGTTGGGTGGAAGAGTGAAACTTGAATTCAGGAGGACATGGATGATAAAGCACACACACACACATACACAAACACACACAAATAATAAATCTCCTATTAAATATTTAGATAGAGAAGATAGAGCCAGAGTATATGTTACTTGAATGTTCCCCACTTCTTTGTGTTTATGTGTGAGAGAAAGAGGAGCTGCAGGATTTTAGTAAGCATTGTGCAGGCAGTTAGAGCTCTTTTTTATTTAGTTGCACCCTGACACCAGGATTCTTCCCCCAGCTAACCACTCAGGGCTCACTGAGCACCGCAGCAAGCTGTAGAAGTAAATGGAGCACTAGCTGTCACACTGTGTCTACCAGAGGAGTTTCAGTATTGGTGGGAGGTCAGTGACCTTGTATTGCCAACAACGGAGAAGCTAAAAGAGCTTTCTTGCTGTCTCAAGGGCCATTTGTAGCACCAGAACACACACACACACACACACACACACACACACACACACACACAGGGCCTGAGATCCAGACTAATGGCTTATTTGTGTTTCTTTAAAAGTACTGTGGGAACTAGGCCTACTGGTTATGTTGCACACGCAAACACACATACACACACACACACACCCTTAAAGTACATATAGTGATTTACACACATAAGAGATTTCTTTATTTCAACAAGTAATTGCAAACACCTGCAACATGCTGTCTCTCATGCGTACGTAAACAAGCACACACACATGCACACTTACAGTTTTCTTATCCACTTTAGGCTTTTCTGGCTTTTCTGAAGTGTTAGAGGAAGCCTCGCTGACCCGCTGCCCAAAGTCTGAGAGCATTAATAATTCACCAAGTTGATGTCTTCAGCCAGGACTGTAAATACACATATACCCCCCCCACCACCACCACACCACACACACACACACACACACACACACACACACACACACACACACACACACACACACACACACACACACGACCAAGCAAGACCAACAACAACATGTCTTGAATTCCCCAGAGTCATTTTAAGAGAGTTCTGATGCTATTGAGCGGAAAGCAAAGGATATGAAGAAAGCAGAAAGCTCAGTTGCCTCCACTTTGTCACATGAATGAGTGGTTGAATAACAGAAAGGCACCCTGCAGGTTTTGCTCTCATGAAGCAAGGTTAGTGTGTTTTAGCCAACTTTTGAGCTTATATCTCAAGGCTTTTCAGTCTCACAGGGCTGGCTCAGGCTGAAACACATCACCACAGTAACCTGCTCGGTTAGCCTGCTTCAGGGCAGGTTACATTCAGACCAGAGAGCATCAAATCAAAATCATCAGTCAACTCTGTTTCAACAGAATCCATCCTGTTTATTGTGCTGAATTATTTTTGCAGCGTAACTGAGTGGTTCAGTATCACTAGTAGACATGTTAACTTGTCTTAAGCCACACCAAAATTTAAGACTGAAATTTCATAGCGAAATCCGTTAATACCAACTGAACTATTAGTAATTTGTGAATTTTTTGTGTCAAGTTCAACTTGAACATGAATTTTTGCCTCACAAACTTGCACCAATAGCAAACTGTTGACCAATAGCAAGCCATCTTGACAGAACAAGCGAGAGTCCAAAATGGTGGGAGCTATCTTAGCTTATTAGCTGTGTTGGATCATTTACTTTTTTAACCTCCTGTCCTCTGCTCAGTGGTACAAATACACCTTTTAAATAAACTGTGTGAATTTATTGTCCCATTAAAAACTAATCTAACAGGGTAGCTCACTGACGATCAGTAAGCCATTAGCAAGATCGTTTGCTCAGTGAGCCTTTTCCCCTCTTTAATAAAAGTCTGCTGAATAAAATGATGTAGCCTACCTTTTGGAGAGCGATTGCCAAGAGGGAGCAAACAAAACAGTGCAGGGGAAAAAGACAGAAGCTCGACTGACTTGCATTTCCCAACTGGCTAGTGTGTTTTAGAAGGAAAAGCGCATTAAAATTCAAGATCCACGTTAAGATCCTTGAACTGCCAGTCATAACAAGACTGTATTCAAATAAAACTGACAATTCCATGATGTGGTCAAAATTACTTTTTTTAGGCACCACATGATGTAAATAAAATATGATAAAGGATTAAGTATACTGTTGGTTTTTATCACTTCTTTATGCAGCAAACCTAACCCCCCCCTTTCTTTTCCTCTCTGTCTGTTGTGGTCCAGTGGGTCGGACAGGGAGCAGTGGTCATTGGAAGCCAAGGAGGATCCACCAATTCCCTGAAGACACCACCATCGCCATGACCGTACACACAAACGCACACACACACACAGACACAGAGCCTCGGTGTGGTAGAAAGATAGATAATGGACAGTGTATTAAAACATACAGTACATGGTGTGACTAACAAGCAACTAAGTAGTAACATCAACTAAAAGCCATTACTTAAACGGGTGTGTCATTAGATTTAACAAGGCTTTAGTGTGGTAAGACTTACTTACTTTAGTCCCTTCACATTCAAGAAACACTTAACTACATTCCAAATGAACTACGAGAGTACTTTCATTAGTCATTATAAGTTGGTACTGACAGTATTAACAGGTTGAGATCATCTTACATGTTAAGCTGTTTTAGCAACTTGCAGTCTGTGGACCAAAATCATTTATTTTTAGGCCAACATGTGAAGCTGTTACTTGTGATTTGTGCAAGCTATAATAGAAACAGTAAGAGTTAGACAGGTGAGGTTAAAGAAGTAGAAAGGACAGAGATGGATTTCTATCCAGATCATCAAAGTTTCAGCTTTTTTCGACATTTGTTTGGCTGTTGTGTTGAATTCAAACTCATGCATTGGTAAAGTGTTGCTTACACTGTTGTTACAGCAGACGTGAACAAAGGAGATTTTCTTGGTGTAAACATTAGTTTTTGTTCTATGGGCAACTTTCGCACAGAACACTTCCTGTAAAGATGTAAACTTGAATGGATTTGCTCCAAGAACGTGTAAAGCAGCTGACAAAGGAAACATAGAGGGGCGGATTCACAAATAATGGATTGCAGCCGCTGATAGCATCATGAATTGTGCTTCACTTGCAACCGCTGTTTGCTCTGTCTCAAGGTCTGATTCACAATGGATATTGCTCTAATGATATTACAGTGCAGACATGCCCATGAAGTTTTGCAGCTGAGTGCAATATGCCCTTGTTTTGCATCTGTTAAATGTTAATCTGTAATTTTTTTGTAGTGGTCCCAGAAATATTTGTTCTTAAAGTATACTGAAGTACCAACTCACACAACTGCTTAAGCAACATTTGAGTTAGAAAATGTTATAGATGCAACTTTCTACTCATATCTTTGAATGTTTTTTTGAAAGAGAAAATATTCTAATTATCTGTTAACTCCCCCCTGCTCTTTCATTCATTTCTGCAGGATGCCTCTGTATGGAGAGTTGTGTCAGACTGATGTCATGTCTCTAGGAGCATGGAGAGCTGTTTTCTTTACTCTGCTCTGTGCTGGGCTGTTACAGTGCGTAGACATTGTCTCTGCTTCTCACAGCAGTAGGTTTTATGTTTCATTTCCTCGTGGTGAATATCAGTAATTGTACTGTCTGTGCCATCTGCGTGCATATGATATACTATTCCTTTGCTTGGCTACAGTCACCACTGCCATGATCGCTGGAAAGTCTGTGTGTGAAACACCTTATAAACACACATACCACCAACTCTCTGAAGATGCTAATAATTTCACTCTAACTTGCTAGCGTGTGGCTATTAGCGCCAGTGTTTGTGAGTCAGGCTTTCTTAGCAGTGAGGCTAATTTGAATAGAAAATGGCCAATTGTGCACCAAATGTGCTCATATTACCAGATTTAAATTCATGCAAATAGCACCAGTGCACAGAGACCCTATTGGCTTGGCAGCGTAGTTAGGGGTGAATTTCACCCTTTGTGAGTACTGTGGGAGTTAACACTGTTTCTTTTGTCCTATTTGTGCAAGTTGCGCAGTGCTTTTGTGAGTTCGCCCCAAAGTGTTTTTATTTACTGCATGGTAAATTGTCATACTTTGTAAACAGGGTGTGGTCAAAATAAAAGAAACGAAACGAAACTGCTGGTGGCAGTGAAAGTGGCATTTTTTTTTTCTGGCAAAAGGTCTGCTGATGCCCTGTTATTGATAATCTCTAAATACAGCAAACTAATGTTTCTTATTGGTAGTTTTGGGTTTCTGAGATAAAGGATAATTCAACTTGAGTATTATATTTTATATATGTTTTATGTGTTTTAGCTTGTTTCAGGCAATTTGATTTAACACAACTTAAAAGTTCAGTTTGTAAGTTTTAGTGGCATCTAGTGGTGAGGGTTGAGAATTGCAGCCAACGACTCACTCACCTCTCACCCCTCCCTTTGCGAGCGCGTTGGAGAAGCTACGGTGGCCGACATGCTTTGTCGGCTCTTATGCTAAATACTGATGGTCAAATTTTCTCTTCTTACTTCGAAACAAACCAGATGACTACTACTATTACTACTACTACCACCTCTTCTTCTTCTTCCTTCTTACATTTACATTTACATTTATTCATTTAGCTGACACCTTTATCCAAAGCGACTTACAATTGCTATACATGTCAGAGGTCGCACGCCTCTGGAGCAACTGAATCGAACCCAGGTCTCCCACACCAAAGGCAAGCATCTTATCTATGCGCCATCACCACCCCGCCATCACTCTTCATCGTACTTATTCAATGTAGTGATGTAACGCGCACTGTAGAGCAGTTTGTTTACTTAGGGCTACTGTAGAAACATGATGGCACAACATGGCAAATTCTATTTAAGGGGACCCGCAGTGTATTTAGATAGAAATGGCTCATTCTGAGGTATGAGGTATTATGTAAGGTCTTTATACACCACTGAAATAGTTCTAAAATGAGCACAAACTAAGCTAATATAATTAAGGTCTTAAAAGTAGATTTCAAAACTAGGTCCTTGGTTGATTTTGTACTTGATTTATAAGCAGCATTAATTGATTGTTTGGTCACTTGAAGGCAGCAGAGGCGCTATAAACACATCATTCACATATTATAACCTTATAAAGTTGTAAGCAAGCATTTTCCTGTTTACATATTCAGCAGACAGAGAGCAACATTAGAATTAATTCATGCTAAATCATGTTTCTGGCCACCTGGTGAAGTCCAACATCCACTCTCATTTTAGCTCTTTAGTGTCCACCAACTCTTGAGGACATATCCCTACATATCATTTGTCACTTATACACCGGTATCTTGCCCAACAATGACAAAACATTTTTTTGTAGGTATTCTTAATGGTATTTTAGAGTTTGTAGTTTTCTGGAAAACAATAAAAATGTTTTAATTTAAATGTATTAATTTTATTAATTTATTAAAATTTTCCAGTTATACGCTTTCTCAATTTTTATGATGGCTTTGTTTCTGGGGGCCAGCCGGGCCTCACTCTAATGTCCTCTAGCTGATCTGCTCTTTTCTGATGGACAGATAGCTTTACCTGTTGCTAAAGCAAGTGCTAACTGTTGCTAACTAGCTGCCGTTATGTTAGCTCAGTTAGCCACTGTCAACGCCACGTATATTTTGCGGATGCAAATAGCACTCTGCTTTCTGTATCATGTGAACTTTGATGCTAAACCGCTGCATTATGAGTGAACTGCAGGATCTTTACTTATTTATTTGTTCTTTATTTAGCAATACAGAATGCATGAGAGCCTTCCTGCATTATATTCTATTACATTTTTATAGTTTTAATTGTCACCTGCTGCCTAAATTTTGTGTTTCCCTTTACATAAAGAAATGTCCACAATAAATTGATGCACAAATTGGTGCAGAAGAATATCACCAGAATGCAGGAAATAAAGTGTTTAATGCTCAAACATTTCAGAGGGCACCCCCAGAACCCCAACTTAGTATGTGGCCCCTCCAATGTTGAACTATACTCTAGCATTTCAACAACAAAATGTCACAGAGGGCCTACTCATAAAATGCACAGAACTCAGCGACACTGAATCTCACTCCAGGCTAAACTGAAAAGTTGGCAGCCCTGTATATACAGATTTGATATTAATTTAATTATGTGCAACTAATTGACTGGGGCTTTAGTGATTCTGTCAGGGGAGAAAGGGCGAACCCATTATATTACCTAAACTGTTAGACATCCTGGTTCAACTTTGACCTACTGTACTCACCTCAGTCGTGTGCACTTGATTTCCCTCGGAATGAGGTCTTATTAGCAACATTTTTGGTGCACTTTCCTTTGGAGGTTTAGATATTCTGGATAAACTGCTGGCTTGCATGCCTGTCTGTTTTTTTTTTTTGCCCCATTTGACTTCTTAGAAATGTCAACATGTTTCCAGATCTCAGCAAGTACTCTGGTGAATACAATGTTATCATAAATGATCTATCTAAGAAAATGATTGCAGATGCAGGACTCTTCAGAAAGCCTTGTTTTATTGAAATCATTCTTGTCAAACCAGTGGTTAACTACTTGTGCCTTCTTGATGGGGGGATTTGTCATTGTAAAAGGCTTCATTTAGAAAGACGTCCCTCAAATAATGAAAAAAGACAACACAGAATCATGTTGTCAATAGTGATGTATTTGCTTTGCCATGAAGTGAGTGACTGGATTGTTTCTATTTGGAAAACACTTGCAGCAGCCCTATCCCATTTTAACAGGACTTTATGTTCTTTTCTTTTAATTTAGACCACGCCCTGCAGATGTTTTAATTAACCAGTGTTTGTTTGTTTTTGTAAATTGAGTTTAATACCAGTATTGTTTATGTCTTCACTGTCACAAATAGCAATGGAAATTTCTTCTGTGTTTATAGGTACAATGCATGCATCATTTTTTGTGAGTAATTTTTAAAATCTTTCTCCTGTTGTGAGATACTAATCAAAGTGTAAACACAAGATGTATTATGAACCTACGGCAGACTGTGTAAATTGTCCATTCAGATGTTATTAATAAATATTTCTATATATAGCATGGATTGATTCATGGGAAGTGTGAGATACAGAGAAAATGTGAGAGTCAGAGAGATGGAATGAGACACACATCCCCCCCTCAGGCCTCCCCCACCCCACCTCACACATGTGCTGTGAGCTCTCCCAACAGACCGCCGTGATTGAAAGACCTATGAAGAACTTCTGACAACGCACACACTTTCAGTAACACACATCCACACACCTTTTCCAGTCACCTACAGTAGGAGCCAGCTCATTAAAAGACTGGATTAAAAAAAACAAAAGAAAATCTCTCAGTTGTTTCCAGACCAGCTAGTTTCCACATATGGTGGTTCTTGTTGTTTGGGGAATTTTGGGAACACTGACATATTATCACCTTCTAGAGTTGAATTGGGGATCAAACGATTGCCTGTTTACACATCCAGGAGACACCTAGCAACATTGTTTTTGGGTTTCACCCAACACATGTAAGTTCACTATTCACTCTATTTTTAGCTCTGCTTTGGACAACACCAACTCCTCAGGGGTTCACCAGCTAATTGCCAGTGTACTGTTTGGTTCTAGGTTGGTAGTGTTTCATTTGAGCTTTATCACTTAAAACAGCTGCCTGCCTAAGCCTGACATTTATCCATCCTGACTTTGTGAAGATTCCTCAACTCCTACAGGTGAGTAAAATGTATTTAGGTGGTGGCTATTTTGTTTTATGCAATACACTCCTCAAACTTCTGCAGATCACTCTGTCACTCCTGGACTCATGTGCCTTTTGCAGGTGCCTCATTTCCAGTCTCTCAGATCCAGGTTTACCAGCAGCTGCACCACAATCTTGTTGCTAGAATCATAACATCATCAAGATTCTTCAGGCAGCATCCATATTTTCTATGATGGTAGCCTTTATTTCCAGAGTGACTTGAGGCAAGTTTATTATTTCTTAAGGGTAGAGACGGTTATGAGTGTCTTTCTCCATGGGTGAGTTATGCTGCCACCTGCTCCCCCACTTGAGGTAGGCTGTTGTCTGTTTTGACCTCAGGTTTTCCAATTTATGGCCACTTCAATAATGTAATATTTCCCTGCATGCCCATCTGCCAAAGTGCTTGAAGTGGAAAAAAGTAAAGTGTATAATAATGGCTGGTAATAGTCCAGCTCATGTGTGTCTGTGCTTCTAGTCATGGCATTCCTCCTGTCACCTGGCTCTCCACCTCACCTGCTGGCAATCACCTCATTACCTGACTGCTGAAAAGCTCCTGGTTTCCCAACTACTGCCGCTAGATTGTTTTGTGCCACCAGTATTAACTTAAAGATTGGCCAAATCTTTAGGCTAATGAGTTACTAGCTTAAAGGTAAGGCTGAGAACGTAAGAACGAACCATACACGTATGGTTAATGATAAAATAATCAAATGATTAAAGAACGAACCATGCAGGGATTCATTCTTTGATTATTTTGTCGTTCTTTGTTCTTTGCGTTGAAAAACCAAAACGGAAAAACAGAAACAGGCTTCCAGGCTCTGGAAACATTGGGAGCTTAGCCCAGAAATCTTTCATGTTTTCCCCTGTTTTCAATTACTTCTACTTGTATCGACCCACAAAAAAAAACACTCACAAACACTCTATCAACTGTCTCCTTTTCTGTTGCTACCTTGTTATGCCATTTGTCAAACTGAAACTCTACCTCTAAATCATTGAGCTACATTTAAATTTTTAAATAGCATAGGCCATGTACATTTATTATATTATTACTACTGATAATAATTCAAACATAGTATTAATGAGGGGTGGGTGGTCTGGGAGTCCTCCCCCTGAAATTTGGGCTTGAAACACTTCATTGTCTTGTCTTTATTTATATAAAAGGACGCACAAAATTCAGGTGACAGGTGACAATTTAAAATATAAATATATAGTGTAATATGATGCTCTAAGGCTCTCATTCTGTATTGCTGTCAGATTTCTCCTGTAGAACCTCTCATTTTATTTCATCTCTGCTGAGTCAAAACACATGCAGGCATGACTGAAGTAAAGTCCTTAAATGTGCATGTTTTCACCTCAATGATTTGAATTCAGTTAATTCAGTTAATTCTGCTTAGGTTTAAAACTTTCTAAACATTAAAAATCTAATGAGAATTAAGTCCTAATATTCTAACAAAACCTAATGCTCCTCTGCTGTGCATTAGCCTGCATTAGGTTGGACTGTACTGGATGAGACTGCTCTTCATCAGAGGTGGAACATCGAAAACACTTGTAATCAGACATAAATCTCACAATTCCACACATCCAAGTCTACTACTAGTACTACTACTACCACATCCAGTGGTGGTAGTAGTAGTAGTATTAGTAGTCATGAAGTTAACATAAAAAAAACATCATGGAGCAGAGAGACAGGGACTTTCTCTTTTCGCAAATTTGTGCCTCCTTGATTTCATTAAATGCCTGAGGAAACAAATTTAATGAAATGATTCCTCGGAGACATTTTAAAGAAATGTCAATTAAAGGTGACCTGTTGCACAGCTGCATCATCTGTTCACTGTTAGCTGTGATCTCTGTCAGATGAGCAGACCAACTTTTGGCACTAAAGGCTACAGATCAGATCTTCACAATCCAGAAAAATGCGAAACATCTCAAAGTTCCAATAAACATTACAGCATCTGTTGAAAACAGTCAGATTATAGTGGCCTAATCATTCACTACACAGAAATACACTAGGCCTAACTTTTTCTTGGCGGTGCGCATTTTGTCTGTTAACAGGAGATCATTTCAGCCCTCAGCCTGATGAGGTGAGTGTTTCATCATCAGTCCCTTTACGAAAGACACAGTAACATTTATCTCATATAGCCCCAATTAAAACTGTCAGGATCGGAATACTCATATAGGCTACGCATAAATCCCCCACCAACTGATTATATTTTCAGATTTAGAGACCACACCTGCATGGGTATCTTATCCACCTCCACCTGTCCCTTTAGCTTTCCAGGTGATATCTTTCTTGTGCGTTATGTTGATGGACTATGAGTGTTATCTTTAACGATTTACTTTGATGATTAGAGAGGCTGCTGTCAATTACAGTTTTACTGTAAACTGGACAGTGTGTGAGACCTTTTGGATGTGCAGAAAAACACAGAACATGAAGAAAGATTAGATCTTGATTGATCCTGTCAGCGTGTTGGGAGATATCATTTTTAATTTGCATTGCTGTGGCTCTTGCATAAATGCGCACAGCGTATCTGTGGAGATGCTTCATCCTGCCAGACCTACAGTGTTCATTTTTACAATACTGCCTGCCCAACCACACATCACATTCAACAATAACAACATCAGTGATATGAAAGTGAAATGACTTTAGACTAAGGAATGCAGTTAGAACAGCGTTTTATGAGGCGCTACACAAACTGTGAAGGGCAGAAAGTTTGATCACGCATCCGATCAATTTTAATGCGCATAACTGATACCATTTATGATTACAACAGGAACCCTGTAGAATCGTGCTCCGGCTATGGGTTGGTCCCATAGACAGTATATTACTGGATGAAGCCACCCCGCTGAATGGAGAGCAGTGAAGCCAGTTTTGGACCAATAAAATACTGATACAGGGCTACTTCCTGTTGGCACCAACGTCTACTGCGCATGATCGCGCAGCATAACCATGTTTTTAATGACGTAGAACAACGGCAGAAACACCGTAATTCTGGTAGCTGCATAGCTGCACCAACAAAGACTTTCATGGCTCAGTGTGTTTGTCTGGCTCGGATCGTCAGTGTTTAATCCACCCACCTACAAGGTTCACCTGCCAAACACCAGCGCTGCGTCACTAATGGCCGAATAGTTGTTTTAGATTCACTGAAAGTTTATAATCTAAGAGATATGGTTACATCTCTCGTGTACGACGGGATGTCATAGGGTTTTGACGTCATTTTTGGGCCTACATGGAACCATCCGTGCAGGCTTTGGTCAGCTTCACTGTTTCTTACCCCCTTGGTTGGTCCAGCTGCTTGTCACGCCTCTTTTAAACGTCACAGCAGCTGAAAAGACATGTTATTCTCTCGCTACTTTGCGGCGGACTGTTAACCGTTTGTGGCGCAAATAAACTGACTATCTAAACCTTTTGAGTAGAATTTTGCTAGGGACAATTCAGTAATCACTGACAAGCCCTGAAGCTGTGAGCAATTTGCTCTCTCTCTCTCTCTCTCTCTCTCTCTCTCTCTCTCTCTGGCAGGCTGAGTAATAGTGTGCGGGGGGGGGGTCACTTTACGTGAACTTCCAGTCTACCAGAGAGGGAGCGGGGTGCTGGACCGTACAGGAGGGAGCGACCTGGCGCGGTGCGGACTGGCAGCAAAAATGGCAAAAATAGCATTCTCAGTATTTCAGGGACCCCACCAAAATATCACAAATCATTCTTTTCAGGGGAGCTTTTGACTCCCCCGTAGTTCACAACCTGGCCGTAGCCTTGAGAAAAAACCCTTGATAAACATATTGGGGTATTTTCTTAGATGTTCAGGTAACCAGCTGCTTCAGATCAGCCCAAAACAAAATGCTAACTGGATGCTGACGAACTTAATCATTAGTTGACTTGAAATAAGAGAATCCTGAGTGTTTGAGTAGCTCACAGGCAAAGCCACGCACCACAACAAGGAATTGTTTTTGCTCTATCGAGTTTGAACACAGCTTGACGCGATCTTGCAAAAAAGTAGCCTACATTGTCTTTAATTTCCTTTTTCGCATTTGACTATAATGTAGTGCTCACCACGCAGCGGCTTTGTTTTTCTGTTTGGTTCTTGTTAGTACGAAAAAGCTGCCTGGAGGCGTTGCCAAGATGGCTGCTGAATGGCTGCCTAATGGCATGACTTGCCTATCAGGACTTTGGTGTAACACACAAAGCTACAATATTCGGACACATTAGATATCAAAATCAATATTTTTCCGTTTTGGTTTTAAAACAAAAAACAACTTGTTTTTTTGTTTTTGCCGATTCAGCTTTGAACCGAAATAATTAAAGAACGAACCCTACACGGATTTAGGTGGCATCCAACCTA